TATATTTTTATTCTCTTAAATTCTTTGAAGATATAAAATTGCATAAAACAATAGTTAACACAATGCATTGTTGGGTTTATAATATATATAACTGTAATATATATGACAGTAGTTCAAAAGGCAGGGGAGGAAATGAAGCTATATTGGAACAAAATTTCTATTTCTACCAGTAATAAATTACTATAAATGTGAAGTAGAATGGGATGAGTTAATAAGTGTATTGTAATTCCTAAAGCAATCCCTTTAAGAAAAAAACAAAAAATATAGTTAAGAAACAAAGAAATTAAATGGTACACTAAAAATATCTATTTAACACAAAACAGGGCAATAAAGGAGGAACAAATGAACAAAGGATATGAGATATACCAAAAACCCCACAAAAGTACCAAATGTAAGTCCAGCCATTTTGGTAATTTTATTAAATGTGAAGGGATTAAAAACTCCAAGGAACAGCAGAGATTGTCAGAATGGATTTTTAAAAATCCAATTGTATGCTGCTATGAAAGCCACACCATAAGTTCAAAGATATATAGGGGCACCTGGTTGGCTCAGTTGGTGAAACATGTGACTCTTGATCTTGGGATTATGATTTAAGCCCCACGTTGGTTGTAGAGATAAGTTTAAAATCATAGCTTTAAAAAAAAATTCAAAGACACACATGTGCTAAAGTAAAAGAATGAAAAAGATATACTGTGCAAATGATAACCACAAGGAGCCAGAGAGGTTATATTAATATAAAAAAATATACTTTAAACCAAAATATTACTAGGGACAGAGAGAAACATTTCATAATGGTAAGAGGGTCAATTCCTCAGAAAAGTATGGCAATTACAAATTTATATGCACCAACAGAGTCCTAAAATATGTGAAGCAAAAAGTGACATAATTGAAAGAAAAAATAGAAAATTAAAAATGACTGGAGACTTCAATATGGTACTCTCAATAACTGATAAAACTAGACAAAAGCAAGGATGTAGGTGTCTTAAATAACACTATCAATCAACTTGACCTAACTGACCTTTCTAGAATACTTTACCCAATGGCAACAAAGTACATATTCTTTTCAACATTCTCCAGGACAGTTCATATGCTACCTCACAAAACAATCTCAATCAACTGAAATGGATTTAAATCATACAAAATATATTATCTGACAGCAGAAGAACTAAATAAGAATCTATAGAAGAAAGGAATTTAGAAAATCCTCAAGCATCAGGAGACTAACAACATACTTCTAAATAACTCACTTATGAGAAAAGAAATCACAATGGAATTAGAAGATATTGTGAACTACTTGAAAACAAAAAAACACAACATATCAAAATATATGGGATATGGCAAAGCAGTGGTTAGAGGAATGTTTATAGCTTTAAGTGTCTATCTTAGAAAAGAAGAAAGGTCTCAAATTAATAATTTAAGCACTGTAAGAAGTTTGAAAAAAGATTAAACTAAACATGAAACAAAAAGAAGGGAGATATAATAAAGATTAGAGAAGAAATCAGTTAAATAGAAAAAAGAACAACAACAAATAAAATCAGTTAAACAAAGGTTGGTTCACTGAAAAGATCAAGAAAATTGACAAACCTTTCACTAGACTAACCATGAAAAAAGAGAGAAGACACAAATTACCAAAGTCAAGAATGAAAGAGGAAACATCACTACCAACCCTACAGAAATTAAGTGGCTCACAAGCAAATGGTAGATGCATTTATATCAAGTAATTCAATCACTTAAATGAAATGGAAAAATTCCTATAAAGACTCAAATTACCAAAACTAGCTTGAGAAGAAATTAAAACTCTGAATGGACCAATAATAAATTAAAAAGTTGAATTAGTAATTTAAAATCTTTGCACAATTAAATGGCTTCACTGAAGAATTCCATCAAACATTTAAAGAAGAAATAATACCAATCGCTTCCTAATTTCTTCCAAAACAGAGGAGAAGGAAACACTTCCCAACTTATTCTATAAGGCCAGTATTACCCGATATCAAAACCAAACAAAGACATTATAGTAAAAGAAAACTACAGACCAATATCCCTCATGTACATAGATGCAGAAATCCTTCACACAATATTAGCAAACTGAATCCAGCAACATATAAAATATTAAACTAAGTGGAGTTTATCCCAGGAATGCAAGGTTGATTTACCATTTGAAAATCAATTAGTGTAACATATACCATATTAATAGAATGAAGAACAAAAATCACATTATCATCTCAATAGATGATAGTATTTGACAAAATTCAGCATTCCTTCATGTTAAAAACTCTCAACAAAATAGGAATAGAAGGGAACTTCCTCAATGCGATAAAGGTCATCTATGAAAAATCCATAGCTAGTATCAAATTTAATAGTAAAAAGAAGAAATGCTTTCCTCCTGAAATTGGGAATAAGGGTATGATATTTGCTCTTGCACTTCTATTCAACATTGTATCAGAGTTTCTGGCCAGAACAGTTTAAAAAAAAACAACAACAACTGAAAGGAAGAAGTCTATCTTTAGTTGTTGATAGAATCATGTATGTAGAAAATCCTAAGAAATACAAATACACACAAAAATGCTAGTACTAATATATTAGTTCAGCAAGGTTACAGGATACAAAATCAAAACACAAAAATTATATTTCTATGTACTAACAATGAACAATGCAAAAATACAATTAAGACAATATCTGCATTCACAATAGTACCAAAAATATAAAATATTTAGGAATAACTTTGACAAAGAAGTATAAAACTTGTATTTGAAAACGATAAAACATTATTATGATAATGGTGAAAAAAGATCTGAATAAATAAATATTCCATGTTCATGGACTGAAAGACTTGACATTGTTAAGATGACGCATTTTTCAAAATTGTTCTACAGTTTCAACATGATTCTTATCAAAATCCCAGCAGATGTTTTTCTTTGTAGACATTGACAAGGTGATCTTAAAATTTATATAAAAATATGAAGGAACACATAGGCAAAAGATTTTCCATAAAAGAGGAACTAAGTTGAAGACTTATATTCACCCATTTCAAACTTTTTCTAAGCAACAGTAATTAAACCCCTGGGATACTGGTGTAAGGATAGGCATATAGATCAGTGGAACAGAACTGAGAGAAACAAACCTTCCTATTTATGATCAATTAATTTTTTATAAAAGTGCTAAGGAATTAAAGGGGAAAGAAAGTCTTTTCAACAAATGATGCTGGAACAATTGTATATCCATATGTGAAAGGATGAGTTTAGAACTTTACTCAATATCACACATATAATTTAATTAAAAATGGATCAAATTTCTATATGTAAAGCTAAAATTACAAAACTCTTAGAAAATATGAAAGGGGAGCCTGGGTGGCTCAGTTGGTTAAGCATCTGCCTTCAGCTCAGGTCCTAAGATCAAGTCCCAAGTTGGGGCTCCCTGCTCAGTGGGGAGTCTGCTTCTCTCTCTCCCAGTCCCCCCTACTTGCGTTCCCTCTCTCGCTGTCTCTCTCTCTGTCAAATAAATAAATAAAATCTTTAAAAAAAAAAAAAGAAAACCATCCTTCTTGGCTGTCTGCTCCTCGAGACAGCCACTCCGCGTTTCTCATATCTGAAGTTCCATCTCTTTCATCTTCAAGACCCCCTAGAGGGTCAGGAGCAAGCACTTGAAGTTTGCAGTCTCTTTTTCCATTTCTACTTTTCCATCAGCCACATTTCTCCCTCTTGCAAAACTTGAAAGAATACTTTCTTTGGGGTTTTACAAAAAGGTTGTTTTGGATCTACTTTTGATTTAAAACAACTTCATTCAATGATCCTCCTTTGATATGGGATCATGTCAGGCTCAACACTTTCTACTGACATTTCAATTTTCCTGTTTCCCAATCTCAACACTTATGGAGGTTTCAGGAGAACATCAAAGTTAGTAGATAAACAGGAGGCTTTGAGTCCTTTCTTTTTTGCTAATATACTTTGCAGAAAAAGCTACTTATAAGATATAAACATGAATTTAGTTTGATCAACATCACTCTTGAAATTTACTGACATGTAGTGTCATAACAAACAACCACCCTTGGGTTTTTTGTTTGTTTTGCATAATTTGCCTTATACTTATCCTTTCTCCCCCCATCTCCATTTCTTTCTCAGCAACAGAAATATCTCATTTTTAGTTTTTAAAAAATGTTTAGTTACTTAAATAGGAATATAACCACAATTTTTTCTTCTATTTATTGCTTTATTTTTCCACTATTTAAGTTTCCACTGATAAGTAACATTTTTGGTAACTTTCCACTGATAAGTAACATTTTTGGTAACTTTCCACAGCTAATGTATAGCCGTGATCTAAAAGCAAATACCACGGGGGTCCGAACCACTTCTCAACATGAATGTGGAACAGTCATGTGTCCCAGAAAAGGCGGATGAGTAAAACACTGAGAGATTTAAATATTTTGTGGTTCTTATCTACATATATCCTTCAGTTTTTATCCATTTCTGACTATTTTAGCAATTGATCTAGATTATGTACTATTTTTAAACAGAAGTGAAAGGGTTTACTCCTTATTTCCTTGATATTGTATTATGCAAGCTGTTTGAAGATATTATCAGGAGAAGCCTTATAAAGTCTAAATCTGTGAACTAAAAATTTTCCAGGACTTTTAAAAGTTAGTCTTACTAACTTATTTACAAGGCAGCCCAGAAACCCACATCCCACCCCACTTTGAGGATGGTCACTATGGTGTCATGGAAGCTACCTTCCTCATTTGAAGTGCTCCTGCTTTCTCTTGTTTCATCTAGAAAGGCTGCTGTGGAAAAGGTCAAGCCTGTTGCAACAGCTCCCATGGGCTTCCAGAGTTCACAGACCTCTGTGGGGAAGCTCAGTTACACCTCGCTGCCCAACCAGCCAGGAACAAAGCTAACATTTCACATCAGAGCCTGGGAGATACCACTTTGCCCTTCTTCCACTTTTGGCTGACTCCTTCCTATTCTACTCTATTAAAGGACATGCCTTCCTCTCACAGGATGGTTCACCTGTCTGGGGAAGATGAATGCCATTCTGGAAGTATCTTGTATCATCTAAACTTGGATTTAACCTGCAAAAGAACCCATCAAATAATATTTTTTGGGTAATAAAGCATAGGTAGCAGAGAATGAGCCAACATCTTTCCTGGCCTCAGTGTAAGGAAGGGCTTAAGTTAGATGAACTTTTGGTCTCTTCCTGCTTTGCCCATTTCACAGTTCCATGGATCTACAAACTGGTGATTATATGAAGCTGGTATTATCAGGAGTCATACTCCTAGGGACAGAAGATTGAACATGGTGAGGGCTACTCTCCTTGGTCTCAGGGTATGTCTTTGGGATTCAGTGCATAATTGCCTTTTAAAGAAGCAAACAGCAATAAACTTGCCTATTTCTGGGGCGGGGGGGGGGGGGGGGAAGTAACTGGCTTTTCCGCTTTCATTAGATTTTCCTCTGACCTTCTCTGATCACATGGGAAGTAATTTAATTCATCATTTTCTGGGTACTTAAATTCTGTAAGACAAATCCCAGAGCGTTGTATTGATTTTTGTAACCCAGAAAACATGGTGCTTTTTCCTTATATATATAATAGTTAAACTTTTATTTAGAGAAGAGGCTATAAGACTATTTCTAGAGGAGAAAAGATAAGAATACACAACCTGGATATATCAGTAGTTTTCCAAGCAAACTTCATTTCCCATAACAGTCTATGGTTCAATAATCTTTTGTAATTCAGATTCAGCTACTTGAATCTACAGGTGGACTCAAATCCCCATACAACTATGGTTATTTCAGGTACTTTTCTTCTTAAGTCCCATAAAAAGCACCAACAATGGGACAAGCTACTTTGTTGGATCTTGGGGAATGGAGAATAAGCATATGGTATTACCATCATCACATTACCTAAAGAGAATCTTAGAAAATTCATTGTATACAGAAAATCTATATGGATCTTTTCACAGCCTCAAAACTATGTGGCTACAGGAGCTGAAAAGCCCTATGAAAAAAATTGGTGGAATTCAGAATTCAGCAATAACTAACAGACCACCATATCTGTTCTGACTGCCCATCTGCTCCTGCCTGGACTATAGCATTAGCCTCCTACCTGGGTAACCTGCTTCTGCTTGTGCACCAGTCTGTTTTCCACACAGCAGACACACCGATCCTGTTACAGCTTAAGTCAGCTCATATCATTCCTCTTCCCTAAACTTTGTCACAACTCCCTCCAACTCAGAATAAAAAATTCTTACAATGGCCCACAAGACCCTATATGGTTGGCCTTGCCCTAATATTACCTTTCTGACATCTTCACCAGCTCTTTCCCTCACTCCTCATTCCCTCAGTGGCCTCGATGCTGTTCCTTGCTGAAAGGCCTGGCAGTGGCAATTCCTGATGCCTGGTGCACCTTTCTCCCAGAGAACTCCCTCTGCTACTTCATGTCTTTGCTCAGATATCACCTTCTCAAAGGGGCGTGCCCCCCATACCTGATCCTTCTTAGCCTACTCTATTTTTTATTGCTTCCATAAAATCTACTACCTTCTAGCATGATATAAAATTCAATGTCTTTTTTATTATGTTTATTGTTTATGGCCTGTCCCTCATGCTAGAATATATGCTCCATGAGGGCAGGAACCTTTGTCGGTTTTGTTCAGCAGTTTATCCCAAGCACCTGGCGCAGTGCTTAGCACACAGGAGGCACTCAGGAAGTATTTGTTGAATGAATGACCAATACCTAGACTTCAATGACTGTCCCCATGCGCCAGCTATTACACTAAGTACCTTATGTCATTATTTCTTTTAGACTTCGCAACATGAGGGGTGAACATTTTCCCCACTTCACAGATGAAGAAACTGAGAGGTTAACTAGCTCCTGAAGTCACAAGCCTAACTGCAAGGAAGCACAGGCTCATTTGACCCCAAAGACTATCCACTTTGCATTATAACATCTGGAAAAGAATATGTAGAAAGTGGATACTAGTCTGATGCCAACAGCTGAGGTCAAGACACAAAAATGTCCACAAGGCAGTAGATTTCTTTGCTAACGTCTTTTGAAACCACACCAGGGTGGGAAATGGAGCAAGTTCTCAGGTCCCCCTCAGTCTCTGCTGCAATCAGACTTGCCAATAGAAGATGAGGGCTTCTGTGTTTAGTGGTCTCTATTTTTAGCACTGGTATCTTCTGTCTGAATTGGAATTGTTTTGAGCATTAGCGTGTTCTTTGCAAACTATAATAGTAGTAACAACCGAGAGGAGTTGATCAATGTGACATGAGTGCAGGTTGAGGGCACAATTTAAGGTTAGGCAAAATGCCCCAGGCAAGCCACTATGTCTGATTCTAAGTGACAAGTTAAACAGTCTGTGAGGTTCCAGGTTTGGCATTCATGAATGCTCCTAGGATCGCCTGTTCCCTACTCTGAATCTTAGTTATTCTGGTGTTCAACAGCTTCTCCACAAGAAGGGCAAATAAAAGGAAATATAATGAAAAACTATATATTGATGCTTCAAGAAAAATCTGGTGGCCAGGAGGTCAAGGGGAGTTAGCTGATTATAACTGTCAATGGGTACCCATGAAAAGAGTGGAGGGTTTGGGGTAGGATGGGGGTTCAAATCATCATTCTACCACTTCTTAGTGCAAGAGAGAAAAGTTATTTAATCAATTTGGTCTCTGATTTTCTCATTTTTAAAATGGGGATATAATTTCTACCTTTCAGGGTTATTGTAAGGATACAATGGTACAGAGGATGCTGTGCTGAGTTGCATCATATGGGTTGAATGTCAATCTGTTTAGAATCAAGCAATTAAATATCTACCATTTCAACAAAGGGTTGAGGGACAACTCTACATCCCTCCATCATCTAAGAACTATGCTGTGTTGTCTCTGCTTTTTGAAAGTTATTCATTCCTATCAAGTGTAACAAAATATTTCACTTATTATTTCCAACTTAATGTATGATCCAGCCTACTCAAAAGAAAAGAAGGAACCATGATTCTCATAATACCACACTCCCTGTAAACATCTGCCTTATTTCATCCTAACTTTCTATAATATTGGCATTAAGAAAGGGATCCTCAGGCCACACACGGGGTTGTCTGATGTTTACATGTTGACTTTCCAGGGTGGTGGTTCTGACCTTTGTTGAGTCACAGGGTTCTCGGAGAATCTGGTGAAAGCTACCATCTTTCTCAGCAAAAACAAATTCTCAACTGTGCCTAATTTTGCACATAATTTCAGATCACCTAAGACCCTCCATTCATGGATAGAAGTTAAGAACCATTGCCTAATGGTAGTTATGAGTACCATTTCTCCTTTAATCTCTGATAGTATTTGTGGATTACTAGCATAAAACAATAATCTTGTGTCATTTTTGTCTTCCTGAATTAGGGTTTTTTTTTTCTCACTGTGGCTAAGAATAAAGGCATTTAGAATATGTCTTCCAGGATTTATTTTATAACCCTGGGCTCAGAATTCAATTGGTAACTGATCTGTGCTTACAACCACATTGATGTTGAACGGGCCATTGTTCCTAAGACCTACTGAGGTCAGCCAAGCCCTGAGCACATATAAATCTCCATAGTTTCCACTTTACTACTGGACATCTAACTACAAAGCAGAGGCTAAAAATAGATCAAGCCTAGTGTTTACATACATTCCATGGAACCGCATTTCTAAACCTAGGGGTTTTAATCAACACTTTTCATAATCCAAAGAGAGATATTTCATTTAGCAGGGAAAAGTTATTCCATTTTGAGAGAGCAAAAACACAACCTAAAGGAATTATGAATATTTTGAAATGTTCAAAGAATATTATCTGAACCTGTTAGCTCTAGGTCTAAAAAAAAGAAAAACTAAAAACCCCAGCATTAGGTTGACTTTCTTTTCCTTTACACTGCATTACACAAAGGAAAAAAATATTGGTGTTTTCTTCCCTCTCTTGTTTCTAGGCCAACATTTCTAGGTCAACATGTTTCTGCCAAGAAGTCTGAGTTCTTCAAACATTAAGCCATTAATGAATAGCTACCTACTTACCTATCTACATAAATATAGACATTGCAGGAAAGAACACAATATGAAGTTGAGTATAGAAAAATGATTACAGTTCCATTTCCTATAAAAACTTTACTATGTGAGGCTTTTTAAAGCTGAAATGGCTAAGTCTTCCAAAGATAACACAGAGCAAATGTTTTCTGAACAAAATATAAAAGTGCTCAAAGGTTTAATTACTAATGTTTAATATAATATATCCCAGTATAAAGAAATATGAATATTACACATGTGGTTAAAAGGATGTTTTGTTTAAAATTAAAATAATTTGGGCGCCTGGGTGGCTCAGTTGGTTAAGCGACTGCCTTCGGCTCAGGTCATGATCCTGGAGTCCCTGGATCGAGTCCTGCATCGGGCTCCCTACTCGGCGGGGAGTCTGCTTCTCCCTCTGACCCTCCCCCCTCTCATGTGCTTGCTCTCTCTCATTCTCTCTCTCTCAAATAAATAAATAAAATCTTTTAAAAAAATAAATAAATAAAATAAATAAATAAATAAAATTAAAATAATTTAACATAAAATTTAGCAATAGAGTTGAAGAAGTAAAGATCTCTTTAAAATACAAATTCATAAAACTTGTAGATCATACTGCCTTGGGGAAATGAAATAAGTACACAAGCAGTTCCATTAGCAACATCTTCTATAGACTCAGTACAGGCAGTCCATGAAAATGGATATTTAAAATGTAATCCTCCTCTATTAAAAGACAGCTGCTTTCCTAAACGAGGTTCTTAATGTTCTACAGAACATTCTTCAGAACAAAATGATGCTGTCCCATACACATGGTGTTAATTCCTCTCAACTTTCCTTTGGAAGGCAGTTCATTTAAAGCAAGTGCTAAAAGAAATGAATTCACCTTAGTGACCATATTTCCATATTTACAACCAACACCAAGTCCTGCTGAATATCCCATGAAAGTGAGATTGCAAAATGATCCTGTTCCATTTTAAATGGAATTTCATAACGTGGCCATCAGACATTCCAGGTAAACCCCAGCGGACTCTGGTTCTGTTACTAAACAGAGCAGAAGGGTCCCAGGAGGTCCCTGTCAGTGCCCGAGAAACAACAGCCATAGATCAGATGCTGCTTAAATCCAATGGGGATTCAGGAATTTCTGCCTTCAGAAACTAGCCTCACTTCTATTCATACAATCCACTGCATTATTTCCTCAATAACTTCTTTAACTCCCAGAAAGAAACACTTTTCTAATTGTCCTAACAGATATTTTGTGGACTTAAATTTTGTAAGACTTAAAATTATATTATGTTGATAACTAAAAAAATGCCATCTATGCCAGATGCTTTGGAAAGGCAGACTTGAGGCAGCAGGTGGTTATTTACCATATATCCCAGAAATGTTTACATTTGCAAGTTCAGCAATTCCTTCTGTGGACTATAGATAGATTTTTAATAAAATCACGTGAATCTTGCAAGTGTTTTTTAATCCCAATGAAACATTTCATTCTGGATATCAAGAAAATAAAAACCGGCTTGGGCTGAGAAAGTAAGCATCTGCCCAGCATTCATCAGGCTGGAACTACAGACACAGAAGCCAACTGCAAAGTTCACAGAAAACATTTCTCTCAGGGACACTGCTGCTAAAAAGGGTTGTGGTAACCTCCTTCTCTGAGTGACTACAGACTCACTGAGAAACTTTCTTCTCTAATATCAAAGATTACCAGTAAGTTTGCTGTTTGAAATTTTATCAGTAAGAATGAGACATTGCCTGGATGACCCCATTTGCTGTTGACACAGAGAAGCAGCCTCAGTTCCCAACTCAGGTGCTGAGCTCCACATAAAGGGCTTCTGGATACAACAGTCCTCAACTTCACTGTTTCCAATAGAAACAGGACACTGGGTTTGCTTTGCAGACCAGACCTGCATGTAAACTCCACTCTTCCTAGAATCCTAATATAGTAACTCTCTTTTCCTCTGCTGTGTGGTCTCCCTCATTGCAATGGGTTGATAAATCTACTTTTATCAGAATACAGGTTTGTTTCTGGTAGTCTTAGGCTGACTGAGATAGGGGCCTGGTTGTATAAAATGCTCTAGCTAAAAAAAATATCTGCTGCCTACCTGAACGATGGCTCAGAATTCTAATACTGGCTCTCAGATACTGAAAAAGTAGAACGCATCTCTACTGTGGTTTGGGCGCCTGTGACCTGTGAATTTTAAATTCTATACTGGCTTCTCATCTAAGTAGAAACATTCTGAGGGCCAGGAAACCTGCTGTGAGCATTGAAATGATGTTTTCTGGCTCTGCTGCTACTGAATGTTGAACTCAATCTGTGGCAGAACTTCTCTGCTTCTAGCAATATCACAGTTGGCAACGCAAGCAAGACATGCCAGTGTGATTATGAAGCTCTCTGTGAAACTCAAACGGTAAAGGGAAATAGGTACACGTAAGTCCCAGGTCTCCCAAATACAGGGCCTCACTCCACCGCTGATTTGTTTTTTTAAAAGATTTTATTTATTTATTTCAGAGAGAGAGAGAGAAAGAGAGCGCAGGGGAGAAGCAGAGGGAGAGGGACAAGCAGACTCTGTGCTGAGCACAGAGCCCTATAGGCTTGATCTCAAGATCCTAAGATCATGACCTGAGCCAAAACCAAGAGTCAGATGCTTAACGAATGAGCCACCCAGGCGCCCCACTCCAAACCTGATTTAAATGTAGGGCTGCCAGACCAAAAGAAGGGAAAACATGATGTAGGAGGGTTATTCAGAGAGTGTGCCTTTGAGCTAAGGTTGGAAGGCTGCTTCTGACATACCCGTGGGAGTAGCCGTAATCGTAGGCCGAGGCTGTCTTCCGACTGGCTGCGAATGCATGGGTAGATTCAGTGGCCTGGGAGGCCTGCTGCTGGTAGGAGCCCGTGGACGCCTGGCTGAAGGCCCCGGATTCCTGGCGGTGCGCAGTGGCGGAGCGGCTGCTGTAGGCCGTGGAGCCATGGGTGTAGATGGCAGAGCTTTTCTTCTCCTGCTGGTACTGGCTCATGGTGCTGCGAAGGTCCCTGTTTCTGTAGCTGCTGTCATAGTGCTGGTGGAGCTTCTGATAAATGGGCAGAGACATCGTGTGCCCTGGAGGGAGCCAGGTGACCTACAAGAAAGCAGCAACTTGTGAGTGAACTATTAAGAAACAAGGTATCTAAATCAATATGTAAAAATAAATACTCTTACCTTTTCCAAAGAGCAAATGGAAAAGGACGTGAAGGTTAGCTTAACTGGTTACTCAGCAAACTTTCTACTTCATAGCCCACATAAGCCCGCTCCATCATTGGGCTGCCTTCTAATCTGGGTTTGGTTTTTTGGGTTTTGTTTTAATAACCAGGAGGTCTTTACAAAGCTTCCCTACCCTAGCTATTGTGTTTTTTCCTCAGACCTTTCATAATATGTATTTCAAATTTTCTGGCATTTTATCCTGATAGGGGCTTCGTCTGGAAGAATATGTAATGATGGAGAGTCTGTGTCACGGTCAATGTGGTTTCATTCAACAAATAATTATTGAGCACCTACTATAAGCCTGGTACTGTTCCAGCACAAGAAATACGGAGATGAACAAAACGAAATCCCTGCTCTGATAACCTTAGCTAGAACTTTATATTCTATTGCAGGTGATAGCCAATAGAGAAAATAAGTAAAATATAAGGTATAACAGAATGGGCTAAATGCTACAGAGAAAAATAAAGCAGGAAAGGGAGTTGGGATGCAATTTTAAACAGTCTCATCAGGGATGGCTTCTGAGCATAAAAGTGTCATCTGAGCATGAGAAAATTAGAAGAAGAGTGTCCTAGATGGAAGACCATAGCAAAGACTCTAGGGTGTGCACATGCGTGTTGTACTCCAGGCAGTGAAGTACAAATAGGCAGTGAAGCTACAAGGAGTGAGCGGGGTGCAGGGAGATGGATAGGAGACGATGCCGGGGGCGGGGGGTGGGGGTGTAGGTCTGATGAGCAACTGTAGGGTCTTTGTCTTTCCCTCTGAAAGGGCTGGAAAAACCATCAGAAAGTTCCAAACTGAGACTCTTGCTGATGTATAAAGGACAGACTATTGAGGGACAAGAATGAAAGCCAGAAGACCAATTAGAAGGCTGTTATAGGGGCACCTGGCTGGCTCAGTCAGTGGAACGTGCGACTCTTGATCTCAGGGTTGTGGGTTTTAGCCCCATTTTGGGTGGAGAGATTACTTAAAAATAAAAACTTTAAAGATTTTTTTTTAAGGGCGTCTGGGTTGCTCAATCGATTAAGCATCTGCCTTCAGCTCAGGTCATGACCCTGGGGTCCTGGGATAGAGCCCCACATCTGGATCCCTGCTCAGTGGGGAATTTGCTTATCCCTCCCTCTCTACCCCTCCCTGTGCTCATGTGTGCTCTCTCTCTCAAATAAATAAAATCTTAAAAAAACTTTTTTAAAAAAGAAGGCTGTTATGAACTGAGTTATATTCCCCCAGATTCATATGTTGAAGTCCTAACCACCAGTACTTCAAAATGTGACTGTATTTGGAAACAGGGTCTTTACAGAGGAAATAAGGCTAACGTGAGATTATTAGGATGGGCCCTCATTCAATATGACTGGTGTCTCTATATGAAGAGGAAATTAGGACACAGATGTGTACGTATACAGAGGAAGACTATGTGAAGAGAAAAGAAGATCATCTATAAGCCAAGAAGAGAGGCCTCCGATAAAAATAATTCTACCAACACCTTGATCTCAGATTTCTAGCCTCCAGAATTGTGAGAAGATACATTTCTGTTGTTTAAGGCACCCAGTCTGTGGTACTTCGTTAGGGAAGCCCTAGCAAATGAAGGCAAAGGCCATTGCAATAGTCCAGGCTAAAGATGACAATGGTGGCAATGGAAATGTGAGAAGTGATCAGACTCAGTACATGTTTTGAAGGTAGAACCAACAGCATTTGCTGAAAGTTCTGAATTAGGGTGTGAAACAAAGAGAGGGGTGAGAGATGATCCTGAGGTTTTCTCCTGAGTAACTGGAAGATCGAAGTTGCTGTTAACTGAGATGGGCAGGAGTGTAAGAAAGCACAGTTAGGGATGAAAGAACAGGAGATGGGTCTGAGATATTCTACAGTTGAGATACTTGCTAAACATCCAAGTGGAGATGTTAAATTGCATTCATGACTTTAGAGCACAGGGTAAAGGTCCAGGATGGACACCTGCATTCAGCAGTCACCAACATATAAGATGGTACATAAAGCCAAAAAATAGATGAAAAGTCCTAGGACTGAACACTGGAGTTTGCTTATATGGTTGACCCTTGAACAATGCAGAGGCTAGAGGGGCCAACCCCACCCCCACCTGCACAAAAATCCGCCTATCACCTTTGACTTCCTCCTGAATTTCATTGCCAATAGCCAGCTGTTGACTAGAAGCCTTACTGATAACATAAACAGTGGATTAACACATATTTTGCACCTTATATGTATTTTATACTGTATTATTACAATAAAGTAAGCTAGAGAAAAGAAAATATTAATAAATCAAAAAGAAAATACATTTACAATACTGTACTATATTTATCCAAAAAAATGTGTGTAAGTGGGCCCATGCAGTTCAAACCCGTGTTGTTCAAGGGCCAACTGTATTATCTTATAATGAACTCTGTCAAATCTCACAAACACTTCAAAAAGGTATAGTGTCAAACCAGATTATTTGCTCCCTTAAAGAATATGAAGTCTTCTAATCTTCTTACATAAAGAAGTAAGAGTCAGTCATAGTGTAGCAGTTTGTATCGTGAACTTGAGCTAACAGTTCAACTGACAAAAAGATAAGTTTGCTTAGCATAGGGAGGGGAGGCTTCACATTGCATGAGTTTCTTTTTTTTTTTAATTTTATTATGTTATGCTAATCACCATACATTAAATCATTGGCTTTTGATGTAGTGTTCCATGATTCACTGTTTGCTTATAACACCCAATGTTCCATTCAACACATGCTCTCCTCAAATACCCATCACCAGGCTAACCCATCCCCCACCCCCTCCCCTCTAGAACCCTCAGTTTGTTTCTCAGAGTCCATAGTCCCTCATGGTTTGTCTCCCCCTCCGATTCCCCCCCCTTCATTTTTCCCTTCCTACATGAGCTTCTTGAATACTGTGTCCACTGACAGGAGTCTATCAAGCCACATTGCTAACTTACCTCGATGAAGTAATAGTTTTATGAAAGCCCCTCCTCCAATTTGTAATGTTTTTGTGCATGTTCTGAAATGTTTTTAACATTTAAATTATATTTAAACATTTAAATAAATAAGCATAAATAACATTTAAAAATTTAAATATTTAATTTTACAAGTAAAATTGGTTGTGAGATAATTTTTTCCAAATCTCTTCTTTGATCATTTTAAATGAGGAATGAATCCTTTTAAACTTACCATGTTTTTGTCAAGTTTAAATCTACTTTTTATTTAAACTTTTATTTTTTTATTTTTTTTAAAGATTTTTTATTTATTTATTTGACAGAGAGAGACACCGTGAGAGAGGGATCACAAGCAGGGGGAGTGGGAGAGGGAGAAGCAGGCTCCCCGAGGAGCAGGGAGCTCGATGCGGGGTTCGATCCCAGGACCCTGGGATCATGACCTGAACCGAAGGCAGATGCTTAACGACTGAGCCACCCAGGCACCCCTATTTAAACTCTTTTAAAAGTCAGTATGTATTCCCTAGAGAAGAAAATCCAGCAAACTGCACTCCAGAAATATTTGTCTTGGGGCTCATGGAAGATATCAGTCTACATGGCATTTCCCAAGAGGAAAAAAATAGCTACTAGGCAAGCAACTTTGCTTCAACCCTTAAATAGATTGCTATCTTCTGTTCTAAAACATACAGAAAATTACCATATGTAATGAATAATTATTAAATTTTGATAAAACAAAAGGATTTGAATATATTAATACAGAAATATGTTAAGCAGTTATAAAGATAATAGGTAAGTTTCTTTAATGATACACAATATATTGTAACATGGCAAATATTATTTAAATGACATCCAAATAAATGATGAATAACCTTCTTATGTATTATGTTATAAGCTAAGTTCATATATGCTAACGTGACTTGAAATGCTGTCATTTTCACAAAATAAAATCTTTAAATATCTTGCCCCAATTCTACTTTCCACTCTCTTTATTTCTATTTTCCCCAAAATATATTTATTTTAATAGTATTTCATATCACAGACACATGCATAATGTATTAAAAATAAACAGGGTCTGGCTTTAAGTCATCAGAGCTGGCTGTCACCACTCTGACCTCTGGAATGAAGGTAAGCTACCTTCTCTTCATCAGGTAAGTGAGGATTATCCCCAACACATGACTGCTAGAGTATGTTGGGAAGAAAGGTGGTTTGGTTGTCTTCTGTTTCTTTAAGACCTGCATTTTCTTTCTGAACATAATTTGGGAATTTTGGAAGAAATACTAATTCCATAATTGTAATCCTGATATGATACTTTTGTATAGGCATTAGAGGCTAAAAGCTGATTTAAATCATTCACAGAAAGTGTTAGCTTTAGGATCATTCTGTGGGGATCTATGTTGCCACTGAAATATTATTTAACCATTTCCATGTTAGAAATACCATAATGCACTCTTACACCTATTCACATGGCATTGTCAAACAAAATCACTGAATTAGAAACCAGGGACTTCAGAGTTAATTTACCTCGTTTGGTCTAATTTATAATCGGGACTATTGCAGGCATATGGAAGATAGAAAACACATTGTATCCTGCCACCTCATCCATTCCAGATTTTAACCAGACCATTGAACTATAACTTGGAAAGAGTACTGGGACTCACACTTACAGTTCCACCATTATCCCCTTAAGGTTCCAGAAACAGTAGCTTAACTTAAAAAGAACAGCATGGATGTGAGAGGAGAGCAGTGCCAGCGAAAACTGGCACCCTGCTGCTTTTGTCTTCCTTCCCAGGGGCTCCCCTTCGCTATTTCTCTCCTCTTCTGACCGCTCTCTGAGAAAACCACTGAACTCACAAGATGGAAAGAAACCACACACATGCAATGCTGTTAAGCACATCAAATATCAAGTGCATTCTTCTACCTCAGTGTCACACTTACCCGTGTTCAAAGGAGTGATGG